CACTAATAGATAAAGAGACTTTGTCAGGAAAAGCTCCACGATGAAATTCAAAGCTATTGATCAGGATAGGATGGGAGGAGAAATGTGATTGCCCATGGTAAACTGAAGGCTTAAAGTTGTGAAGACATCTTGCATCTCCTGGGAGCAAGTAGGAAGCGGGGCCCAGAGATGTTTTTTAGGTACACGTGTAACAAATGTGARTGACCCACTGCATCTAGCTATTTTGTAGTCCTAGCTCTCAGTCAAATTTGGGGTGACTCTGAAATGTGCTCTCTATATAAGAACTACAAGAGTTTGAGTGGTCTATCCAAAGTTTAGGCTATCCAAAGTAATGCAAATGGAGGAATACCAAGTGACATTCACACATTATGGAGTTTCACTCTTGACAGATCTGTCAAGTGTCAGATCTGTCAAGGCATTTAATACCATTTTACAATTACAGTAGGGATAAAATGATCATCCAAAATATGATTAAAATAGCTCAAAAATAGAATCACTTAATAAATGTTTTTATAAGTTTATTTCTAAAGAGATATCTGTTGGAACAGCAATTTGTTCATTTTTCATCAAAGTCCATATGGACCACGAACTATCTAAATGCTGGAGGGACCAAGAAAATTAAGACATACTAATTAATTTATTCAATGACTATTTATTGAGAGTCTACTATTTGTCAGATGGCACTTTTTTAGAAGCTGGGGATAGCAAATAAAAATATAATGTCTTTGTAGTGTTAAATATCATGAAGAAAGATGCAGCAGAATAGAAGGTCAAAGTGAGTGTGAGGTCAAATAGAAGGTCAAGTGGGGGCACATGTATTAAATAACTGAAGCTAAGGAAGATCTAGGGGAGTGTCAGGGCAGCATGAGAGCAAGTATAAAGTCTTCAAGGAAGGAAGGTGTTTGGCATGTTTGAGGAATAGAGAGATGGTTAGTGTGGAGAGAGTGTTCAGAGATTAGGTGGGAGAGAAGTCAGGGACAGAGTCATGGGGTGCCTTGCACACCTGAAAAAAGGTGGGGTCTGAGTACTGAGGGAAGCCCTGGAGGGAGTTGAGGCTCTGGATAGTCCCTCTGCCAGCTGGGTGGAGAATTGACTATAGGGGGAGCAAGACTGTAAGAAGGGAACTGGGAGGTGATTATTGTAGTATGGATGAGAGAGGATGTGGTGGTGGCTGGTGATCAGGTTTGAGATGTACTGTATTTTGAATGTTGAATTCAGTGGTAGGAGCAGGGCATAATAATTAATGATTTGAATGGAGAGATATGAGGTTGTTTCAAAGGAAGAAAGAAATAGAGGATAACACTTGTTCTCAGTCACTGATAGAAGGTAATGGTCATATTCTTGTAAGGCAAAGAGTAGGAAAGAGTGAGTTGGAGGCATTGAAAACTTCTGTTTGACAGATACCCATTAGATATTCAGATGGTCAGTTGGGTATCTGAGTGTTCCCAGTTCTGGGGGTACAGATGTCAGATTGGGAGTTATTAGTATGTAAATGAATTTTGAAGTCATCWACTAGATATCATCAACCAGGCATGAGCCTCAGTTGATAGGAGGACCAAGGGACTGAATACTGAGGTATGCTAATATTTAGTGGTTGGGAAGAGAGGAGGTGGAGGCAGAGCAGATGGAGAGAGGTTGTTGGTAAGTGGGATAAACACCAGTAGAATGTGGTATCTCAGAAACAAAGGGCAGAAAGTGTTTTAAGAAGGAGAGTAATAAGCCACACAAATGGCTTCCAAGAGACCACGATGAGGACTGGATTTGGCGAGGCATGGTCCCTTCCTTCAAGGGGCTCACAGCAAGTGGGGGATGGGAAAATAAGGAAACACATAAATCGGGATACAATGGTGACGTGCCCTAGAGATGTGAACACACTTCCGGAGACGGACTGAAGACAGAGCAGGGAATGTCCCTAGAGAGTCAAAGAATGCTACATGGAGGAGATGTATTTTTGGATTCTTGAATTTAGGAAGAAGAGATTCAAACCAAGGATTCATAGAACTTAGAAATTTTTTTTCTAGTTGTTTGTTGATTTTTTCTCCATCACTTATGCAAAACTGGTATTTCCACCCCCCCAAGTTAATATTTCACTGCTATCACTGCTATAACTCCATGCACAATTACCACTCATCAGCACACATGGTAATTGTTTTGTAAGGACAATAATGCACTCCACTGTACTCTACTCTTCTATAGGATATTCTTGATATTACATCTTCCCTTGTCAGAGCCTTTACTTTTAGTTACATTTTAATTCACTTTCATAGGGGTACATAAGTGTACAGAACTTCTTCTTTTTTTTTTGAGAGAGAGAGAGAGAATTTTTTAATATTTATTTTTTAGTTTTCGGCGGACACAACATCTTTGTTTGTATGTGGTGCTGAGGATTGAATCCAGGCCGCACGCATGCCAGGCGAGTGCACTACCACTTGAGCCACATCCCCAGCCCCAGAAATTATTCTTAATAATAACTGCTGAAAAAACTATTGCTTTTTACTTCACATGCTATAGTTCATTTTGTTTTCACAAATAATTTAAATACCTTTATTGTCCCTGTTTTTACTCTGTCACAGCTGAGATACAGAGAGGTTAAGTAACTTGCTCAAAGCCCACAGAATAAGTGCCAGAACCAGTATTAGAACTGGTCGTCTGACTTTGGAGTTCATTATCATATTGTATCCAGAATAGTATGTTGTACTTTTATCCTTACTGTTATATTTCTGTGTTCCTGGGATGAGCCGTTAGTTATTAGGGAAAAGTCTTTAAGGGAGAGGCTGATCTTTGATTTCATTTGCCATCTTTTTTAAGGACTCAGAAGCCTGATTACAGGTTGTCATTTCAGTGTGGGTCAGAAGAACCCAGGAACTGGACACTGGATCCAAATGGAGAAGAGTGCCTTTATATCTTTAACAATTGATTGTAGATTGTCCTGTGACTGTGTATGGATTTATGTTCAACCAGAGCATGTGTGAGGAGGGTGGTGGCAAAAGCAGCTAAAGTGTTTGTGACAGAGAGTGTCCTCTGCTAATAGAGGTGATAAGTTCATTATGATCCCAGATGCATGGGGAACACACCTTTATTTCCTTTTTAACCTTACCAAAAGTGCAGGAGAGGATTTCATATTTAAGGAAGTACAAAGTGTAAGGCAAAGCCATCGTGGTTAGGAATGCCTGCAATGCAAAGGTTCAGTGGTTGTGGTTTTCTGGATGCTCAAATAATATAGTGGCCAAAGTCTGAGATATTTTGATGCTCAAACCCCAGTAAGTGTGTACATAATTGAAATAGAAAATAATTGGATCCTAGCAGAATCTAGATATAGTTCAGCCTTGGTTTGATCTCTGATGTGTCTTTTAATAGGCCGACTTTATTTCTAACGATGGTTTTATCTTCTTTCTGACACCACTGTAATTGGTTCACCCAAGAGATGAGGATTTGGATACATAGTTTTTCTAAGCATTTGAAGTCTCTCCTTCTAGAAGATTTTGAGTTCTACCTTTGATCTAAAGATTTCTGAAATAAGGTGCTAGCCACTTTTCCCTTCATGGTAGATAGAAGATATAGCATAAATAACTTTTGCTAGGATGTTTTCAAGAACAGTTTCTGAGTAACTTTCTGAAGGCACAGAGCCATAAATTTTATAATTAGTTTTTTTTCTCCCTCAAGATAAAAGAATATCTGCTCTTCTCTTTATTCTGCTCTTATTAAAGTGCTCTTTTCTGGGCATAGTTATTATATTTTCAGCAAAGCGTAAGGGACCCAGCATTAAAATTTTCTCATAGTTTCAACAAGTGTAGAAAAGTTGCTAGGAAATGGATCCTGTACCTACTGCTGCTATGGGGTAATATTCTTGCAAGTTATATATGTGCCTGAGGAAGGGAAGACTTAGGTGACCATCTAACTCTGGAAGAGAAGCTGCTTCCTACAGAAGGAGGATTTTGAATGGCCACAGAGCCAAGCAAACACTCAAACTGGCTTCCTGTGGGCCATTTCCTCTTTGCTGAAACTGATCCAAAGCCAAGGCGAAGAAAAGAAAAATTTTCCTCTTATGAAATCTCAAATCTCTGACGAGTCACCATTCCGAACACTGTTCAAAAAACTAATGCAACTGTACATTTGAAGTATTTCACAAATTTGCAAGTGAGAAACTTTATAATATTTGTTTTGAAAATTAAGGGAACAAGTCAGAATCAAAATCAGAAAATTCAGATCATGCTATCACACTGACAAGTAACACCTATTAACTTTAGAATAACAAAAGCTGAAAGTCCACTGATTACGGTATCTTAACTGTCATGCTTTAAAAGATCCTATGCTCAATTTTGTCCTTTCGGGACATGCTTTAAGAGATTCAAATTTTATGTGTACTTTTATTTTTTAAAATGTATCAATTAAAAATGTTTCTTTTAGTCTGAGATACAGATTACCTGATTAATATTTTAAAACTTCAAAAACTTTTTCTCTCCATCTAAAATCCCAAGAAAATGAAAGTACAGTATTTTGGTACCAAGTACTATAGAAAAGTTGAGTGTTTTATTTATTAATCTTAGCATTTTCATTTCTAAACAGTATGAGATGAATAGAGGAAACATAGCAAGACATTTCTTTCATCAGTTGTGTGTTTAGTGGTCTTTTTTTTTTTTTTTGGATAGGAAAAAATGTGTTGCAATTACACTATATCCTAAAATGTTCACAATAAAAAGTTGATGAATCTTCAAGCAAATGACTAAAATCTCTGGCCCAAAGTCTAGAGGGCAGTTCCGAGTATTTTACCAAGGGTTATTCATTTGCCTTGATTGGGGGTGGTGTTACAATACAAATTGATGCACAAATCCTTCTCCCCACAATTCCGGCAAAGTCTTTGATTGTATTTTTTGGTGATCTCCACAGTGCCTGCCAGGCCTGTGCCTAATACTGACACCGAACTCAGCCAGGTCCCTCTAAACTTGGGGTCTGGCTTCCCACGCTGTGCATCTAGATGCACGAGTCCCACTTTTTCTTACCTGCATAGTGGTCAAACACAGTGGGCACGTACTCCTCGGGGAAGGCATCATTGGCATAGCTCATCAGCAGGCAGGTTTTCCCCACGGCACCGTCCCCAACCACCACACACTTCAGCATCTTTTTCTCTTCGTTGCCACTGCAACTGCAGCTGCTGTCATTTCCCTCTTTGCAGTTCATTCTTGCGGCTCCAGCTGCTGCTGCTGCTGCTGCTGCTTCCTCCAAAGCACATGAAGCGGTGGGAAGTGAGCGCCAGGCTGGAGTTTACCCTGCCTTACTTTGGCTACCTTGGATCATGCAGGCATGTCCGAGGCGCGCGGATGCCCTGTTGCTTACCATTCTAGTAAAGTAAGGGAGCACACACTTGGGGGAATTATTAAAAGGGGAATTATTAAAAGGGTCTATTCCTCTTCCCTATCAGTTCCACTTAGGAGACGCTCTTTCCCGTAGAATTCTAGAGGCTTCCCCACACCTCAGAAATTTCAGCAGCCYGAGGGTTTCACTCTGCTCTCGCCCTCTCCAGCCTGGCTGAAGGCACGGAGGAATTTTGCTAAATCTTTCCCATTTTCCACCTCACATCTAACATGGAGGAAAGCTGCGCTTTTAAATGGAGATTTCCCCCTGCTTCCTCCAGCTTGCCGAGTATCAGGAAATCATGGGTTTCCTGCTGCATTCCATATTAGGATCAGTGGGCTGGGGAGGGCTGCAACAATGGGAGCTCTGTGTGTGTGTGTGTTTGTACTTCTGGGGAAGGATGCCAGGACATGGAGTGGGAAAACACTAGGGGTCCCACTGCAGACTCCAGCGGTCAGACTTCCTGTTCTGCCCGCTGCTAGTCAGGCTGTTTGCTTGTGGCTGGCTGGGAAGAAGCCGACGAAAGGATGGAAACCCGGAGAACTGTCTGCCACAGAAACAGGGGGAACGGTTTGAGTGAGCAGAGAGAACCACACCAGCAACTGAAGGATAACATATGACATCATCCCTCACTGAGTCACCAGTGAAAAGCTCTGCAAATTAAAAACGGACAGTTTTTTTTTCTTTTACTTTCTTAAAATGAGAACCCTCAAGAGATTTCTTTTTGCAATAAAAAGACAATTTTCCAGAGTTACATAGTTTCAAAAGCAAAATTTTATTATAGGTCATAGGTACCTATAGTACATGTGATCAGGTTTACAAGCTGCCACATTGGAGTGCAATGCTCAGATATGTATTCCAGACACTAACATTTTTTTATGATTGTAGCACATAAGAAATCAATTAGAGGTGGGACGTTTGCATTTTCTTATTAGTAAATAAACACACATGCGCTTGGCTCCTATTTAACACCCTTTGGAAACAAGAGGGTGAAGGATGGCTTTTTGATTTGGGTCCCCAGTGCTGTTTTTGCTTGGAGGATCCCGTGTTTGATTTAGTCCTCTCCCCTTGGGTCAGGCTGGCCCTCTTCAATTACAAAGGAGTCATTGGCAGCTAATTTATTTGTCGGTTGGGTCTCTCAAAMTGAAGCCCCTTTGAAGTTCTGCATTTGATTAATGTACTTGGTCTTGGAAAAGAAGTGGCACTCTGCAAATGATTTGACAAATGGATTTCTCTGAGATTTTGAAGGATTCACATTATTTAATTGCTTTGAAAATTAAATAAAAAAGTTTTTCTGGGTGGGGGCAAGGTGGGAAAAGTCTGTTTTCATAAGTGGTTATCTATAATATTTATACCCACGTATCATACATATGCCATCATCTAATATAGTACCAAATTTCTTCTGTTTTAGATCAGAGTAGCATTTTCCATAATGTGTACTGTCCCAACATTTCTTCCCTAAAAAGGAATGGCGTTTCAGTTAGGTTATGGTATGTTAGCTAGGTTATATTGCAATAACAGACAATCCCCACACCTCAGTGGTTTAAAATAACATGTATTTCTTTGCTCACCTTGTATTTTTGTTCTGTATCACTGTCATCTTTATTCAGGGATCTAGGCTGGTAAAGTAGTCATGCTGAGAATGTTGATGATCAGTGAGGCAGAAGAAGAAATGAGTATGGTAGAGGCATTGATTCTTAAATTTTCTTGGACATTATTCTTTTGCTCATGTTTATTGACTAAAGCCAGTGATATGTCTGTGCTGGGTTCAACAGGAGGATCAGAAGTTTAATCCTACCATGTATTGGGAACCATATATTGGTGAATAGTCTGAATGATAACCAGAGAGTTGCAATATGAAAGTTGAATATTTGCAATATGAAAGTTGAATGGTTTATGTTTAGTGCCAATCTGAAGCATTTGAAGACATGTATGATTACATGTGATTTACAAATTTTTCTTTAGTCTTCCTAGAATACTTGGAATATGTGATAATAAAATTGCAATTTGAAAATATGTGTTTTATTTCTAGAAAAAAGGCTTGAGTATGAATGTGGTAGCCAAATCAGTCTATGTAGGTGAGGAAGTGGTTGGCAGTGTTGAGGATCCCTCCTAAAGATGAACAAGATCATTCTGAGCACAGTGTGATGATATGTGTTTGACCTTACTCCTGAGGTTGGACAGTAAATGTGGCATGATACCTCATTCATGGAGCACTGAAACATCATTACCCAGCCTGGCCAACTAAAAGCCTGTGTCCCTACACCACAAACATGCTCCTGTGCACTGAGAACTTGGTCTAGAAAAAAACCTGAGAAATTGGATGGAGGTGAATTTTTGCTCTATCTGTGTATAACCTAGACCTTGCACCATCAGACAAGAATATTCAAGTCCATTCTGGTTACTATGTGGACAGTGATTTGAGCCAGTTGAGAGCTTTGAAGCAGCTAATTATGGGTCCTTTATCTTGAACTCAAAGGATTGGCAATCTGCCAGATTGGATTATATACAAAGATTGGTTATGGCTATAGAGAATGTTAGCTCTATTTCTCAGATTAGATTTTTTTTTTTTATCATTGTTTACTGCCTCTTAAATTTAATATTTATGGAGAAAGAAAACTTTTGAGACATCCTAGTAAAAATGACAAAAGTTAAAATCTTAATATCTCAGCCTGCAAAGGGGATCACATTGTCCATGAGAATAAATATTTTAAAATATTTAAATTTCAAAAGACTGACATGAACCAGGATAACAAATTCTTAAAAACAATTCAGCATTGTTTGCAGAGGTCTGGGAGTCCATAGAATTATGTTTGCTTGCCCAGGTAGAATGATCAAGAATATACTTTGATTCCAAAGATTTAAACATATACTAAGTTTGGAAGTGGTATGAAGACCACTGTGTAAAATACTCTACCAGATGCCTGTACTTTTGGGTCTTGGGCCATGTAAATGATTGAGTGGTGGTTACATAGCCATTAATTATTTGGTTTACTTCACCACCAAGTTTATACAAGCTTACCAGCATGTGGTGAAATCTTGCTGGGTGATATTTTCTGCTTTTCCCAAGAGATCTTAAGCACTGAATCCCTCTTGTCCTCTGAGCTTTGGCTTCCCATGAGTTTCTGCAAATGCCAGCAGTTTTTTTTTTTTTTGTATAAAATTCTGATTCCTTTGATTGCTTCCAGTTTTCAGAGAAAGCTCAGTAGAAGTGCTTAAACTTCCCTGGTCTTTCTTTTCTTTTATGCTTAAAACTAGAAGTTACATGGGGGAAGTAATGCAACTGGATTAGAAACTCGGATTTTTGGACTGGTCTGTATGGAGGAGAAGGTTTTGATTTTAGTTTTAGGAATGTGGGATGTGCCATGGTTTCCATGATACCAGGATGCTCAGTAGAATCAGGGGTCACCTCCACTTGGGGGAAGACATTCTCTGGGGCTAATCTGAAGTCAGATCTCTGATGGTGGTGAGTATGGTGTGAGTTGAGAGGGGCAGTGTTTTCAAGTTCTAAGGGTGCGGATCCACCTCTCCTTCTGAGACTAAACTTCAAGATCAGTTGAGGATGTTAAACTGAACAGGATATCCTAGGACTGCCCTGGACTGGAGCTGCCCCTCCCCAAGGTGGGTGAGCCATTGCCATCAGGAATGCTTGTGTGTCTATTTGTCATCTGTTAGGTCACATGTACTCAGTCTCTGGCTATTGCCCATCCCATGCACTTGTATAATGTCATATATATATAATATATATAGCATATCAGCTTTGGATAATATCTTTTCATAATTCTCGAAATGGCTTTCTTTTTCCTATTTGGAGGTCTTCTCTTTTCTCCTCTAATATATTAATTCCAAGAGAAATAGGTTACTCGCCAATATTAGGTGGGTGGGACTTCTTTCTGTCCTAGGAAGAAAGAGGCCCATTTGGTCAGTAATGATAAAGAGCTTTGTGTGTGTTTCTTGTATATTGCAATATTTCATAGCTTAACTCTGAATACAAAAACTTGTCTAAGAGGAAGAGAGTCTTGTGGGTTATCCATTGGGTGTTTTTGGTCTTCAAAGAAAACCARAGATTAGGGAACCATTCAAATTCCTCCTATCCAGAAAATATGGAGATGAATAACAGGTTAGAGAGAACTTTCYACTGATTCTTGATCTTCCAGATGAGATGTTTTGAAAGGCAGAAGATTTGAGGTTGAGATGGTGCTGGGTTGTTTCTCCCTCAATGCCATGAATAGAAATAGCTTGTAGAAATAGCTCTCTTGGACATACACAGAGATCTTCGGTGTTTGCTTTTCTGTTTAGTGATTTGACTCCAAGAAGGCTAGGCTCATTGGATTGGTCATTGTCTGGGTGGGCAATGGTACAATTGCCAGAGATTGAAATTCTGTGGGCACAGGGCCATGTCATAGTCTACTGTTCTTTTTTGTATATGGGATATTTTTAAAAAGTGAGAAAGATTGATGAAAAATTTCTACTTTTGCTAGAAAAACAGCTCAAACTTGCCTTTGGCTTTGGACACATCGATAGCATTAATGTCATATAAAAATAATATATAGAATGAAAATTTGAAAACCTACAGCATCTCWACAATGACTGGGAAAATGGGGCTCTCTGGTATGTAAGTATGCATTTTAGTTATGAYGGGATTAAATGCAAAAGGAGTCCTCCTGAGAACCTGCATGATACCTACTMACCCTCTGTTTGGTAAAACACTAAATAAGGAAGAAAACATATTCTCTGTGGATGGGAATGTCTGGTTAGACTATCTGAACAGCTMATTTGCTGGTTAATCTGTATCTACAATTCACTTGCTTCAGAAGAAAGTGAGTCATAAAGAAAATCTGAACTTAAAGGAGATTATAGCTCAAATCTCAGATTTCATGTTTGAACATGGTAGGGACTGTGAGAAAAAATTTTGGAATTGACTCTCAGTGGGATAAGTGGAAGAAGAAAGTAAATCAAGAAAATACCATCAAACAAATCTATTAAAACTCCTAGGACAAAAGAAGGGGGAGAATTAAAATCTTCAGAGAGAAAGAGAGGATGGATGAACTTTTAGTATGGAAGACTGAACAGTGTTCAGGCTAAGTCCCAGAGAAGATTCCCCTACCCTTTATTGTCAAGATGGAGCATTCTGGCAATGTGTTTGTTTTCCAGTCAACTTTATGATACTTCCTTTTTTTGTTGTTTTTCTATTCACTATTGTGCTGTTTTATTGAAAGCATTTTGGATTTTTCAGTGTTAAATAGTCGTTTTTTTTWTWWKYTKCTWYTRTTKT